ATTTGCTGGTACATGAGAGGTAAAGAGAAATTAAAGAACAGGCAGAAGTCATGCAGAGATTCTTGCAGAGGACTGTTACCATCTGATTTAGAAAGATCACTGTATGTGATAAGAGAATAATGAAATCTTTTGTAAAGCTCCTGCAGAGCAGCGGTCACAGCATTTGGAACATGACTAAGGTGGGATGGTGCAATCAATTCTTAGAGGAATATTGAAAAAAATACTTAGTATTAATCTTGACTTTTGCAGGGTCCTCATCAGCAATCAGTCACGCCTAATTAGTTGACTGTTTTAGGAATACTGTTAGGAAAGTTCATCCTGCTGGCTGCATGACAACATTTTTTCAAGCTTTCACTGTCTCTTGGTGCACATTAGGGCATGTGAAATCTTTTTTGAGAGGATGCATGAGGCATATTATCTCTCCCAAGRGAAAATGCACTGCCTGTTCTATTTTATTTTAAAAAAGAACAATTAGTTTTATTRTTTCTTTTTTAATAAATGCAGAAACTATGTAAAAGCAATGAACTTTTTTTAATATTTTTTTCTGTTTCATTATAACAACTAAGAATTAGTTCTTTTTTTTTAATCATTTAAAAATGGATCTGGGAGTTTCAGTTTTTTACTTTAGGGTTGTTTGATTTTTTTGTTGTTTTGTAGGCAGAGATCTCTACTAATAGGGTCTTCTAGTGGAGATGCTGGCACAACTTTTAGTGTAACAGTTCTTTGGTGGTCTCTTGAGGACAAAACCTTTTTGCTATAGCACAATTAGTAAAAGGAGGAATATTTATATACTTRAAAATACTAACTAATCAAGAAAAGGGAGTGATAGCCCCAAAACCTGATACTCCWTTTGTGTCCTACTGGGGTTACCCAAGCTCCAAAGGCCGTGGAACCTGGCWTGACAGCAGAGCAATTTATACAGTGAACTGTTTTAAATTATGTTCCCCAGAATCTAATTACAAACTAAATGGTCCTATGCTTACTCTGTGCTTGTTTAGCTGCCAGACAAGATAGTCATTCCTCCTCAGAATATAAAGTGAGCTCTGCATTGCCAGGCACAGCAGGCTGACAATATTCTATGGAAGGCCAAGTTTCTGAATTTCATTAACTSTATCTGATTTTTTCCATTACTTTTGTTTTCTTCTAGTGCATTGGTAATAACCTAAATTGCATCTTAATATTTTGAGATTTTTATATGTGTTGTAAGAATCCAAAGAAAAATGAATAAACACTGTGGTAAGAATCAGTCTGAAGACAGAGAAATAGGAATAGGAATTTCAACCCTAATGGAAAATGAATATGGTAGAACTTTGCTAATTACCTGTATGCAGACATTCCCTATTAAAGGAAAGAAACTRAAAGCTCACACTTAGCTCATTGGTATAATGGGTGTATTACAGAATGTTAGATTAACATAAATTTTAATACTTTGAATAGTAATGATTAATGTAAATATCCTAATTTTAATTTCTAATAGTATACACTGCTATCACGTAACTATTACAAATAGCAAAAGATAAGTAAAAAGCTTTTGCTCCTTAAGAAAATACTCTTTCCATGGAGCATAATTTAGCAGTCTGATTCCCATTCATTATGTTGTCAGAGTAAATGGCACTAAAATGTTTAAATCAGTTATAGGAAAGATTTGAAAAAGATTGTTTTAATCTGAAGGTATTCAGAAGCTAAATATTTAAGCAGCCACTAGACCTAATGTTTGAATTTTTAACTACCATTAAACTTCAAKAGACAAAATTATAAGCTGCCATCATAAACTTGAGCTTGTGGTTCATCCTGAACTCAACTCCACTTTTTATATTCTTGTATTGTTTTTATACAAACTGTAAATTCTCAGCATGCAATGGCAGTATTTAACTACCGCAAAAAATAGGAGTTATTTTTAAAAAAAAGTTCATGTGGTTATAATGAAATGTTTTGAAATAGGGAAAATAACAATAAAGTGCAAAATAATATGCTTGCTATGATTATGAAACAGTAACCCAAACCACTGTACAGAGTCAGCATTGCAGTATATCTCTCTCCATTATTAGTTTATACTATTTTTATTTCTCATCACTTTCTCCYATCAGGAACAGGATGATAGGAAACAGTTCTTGTCTCAGATGAGCTAAAATTGAAATCCAAGCTAATAAAACCCCAGAAATTMAAAGGAACTGTACTATTTAAGAAAAAACATAAATAGAAAGTTTCATCCAAAGCAGTAAAATGGTATGAAATAATAAAATAATGGATATGATTTCATCTGGTAAAAATGTCTGTTATATAAAGTGACTGTCAAGGACACTAATTGAATTCCCAGATGAGTGAAATGGAGGACAGGACTAATTGMTGTGCTGGTTTGGAGAAGTCTGTTSTACGTAGAAAAGGGTAGGGGTGATGTACAAGTTGGGTGGCTCAGTGTCACTTCCATGACCCTGCTGCAGCTGGTTTTTAATCTGTGCTGCTGTGATTTACCTCCCTTTTAGTAGCTCCTGTCTTGAAGGTGATCTGAATGAGTGGAAGTTTATTACTTGTAAGAGACAAACTGTTAAAAATCAGTATGGGACCTGAGACATCACCTATTTAAATTAAGAAATAATGCTTTCATGGATTCCAGTACACCAGACAGACAACTCCACCAACTATGTGCATTCACAACTTTACAGTATTTTCTTTGGAGGTGTTACCTGGTCCTCAGACAGTGAAATAGGGTGCAGTGGTGAGAGTCTGTGTCTGCTCACACTCACCTTGTGCTGGGAGCGCTGGCAGGAAACTCTGTGGGGATCAGTGAGGCTGACGAGCTYCCACCTTACTTAGCAGCCACTTTTATTTAGAAAAATGTTACTCTGTGCAATCTCAGCACCTGTTTCTTCCTCGAGARGCAGTATATTTTCTACATATCTCCTTGAAATATGACTAAGTCTTCATGGGTTTTGGATTTTATTGGGGAATATTTTAATAGCTTTTCATTTTTTTTGCATGTGTATTCAAATTTCTTCATGTAAAATACGCAGATGTTCTCTTTTGTAATTGCAGTTTTGATGTCCAYAATTTTACAGAAATGATTGCAGGTTTTTACTGCTTCAGAAAACCCCAAACAACTAGTCCATATTGCCAGTGATTTATACTCTTAATTTTCAAACGCAGCTTCTCATAGGCAGAACTGCTGCTTTCATTTTAAACTGCTGCTATGAAAAAAGAGTCCCAGAACTTATTTCACAGAAACTATAAAGTCATTCAAGGCAGCGAAAGATCCTGCTTTTTTAACCTTTCAGAAAGTCGCCCAGTTGAGCAGTCAGGCCGCATTATTCTATATCTTGTCTAACACGAGGAAACAGTCCCAAAAGAAAGATATCCCAAATTAACGCCACACTTCGTTAAATAGAGACATTCTTGGTTTTCACCAAGCTAATTCGATCCAGTTCAGTTAACTCATTTTTTTTGTCCTCGGATCACGGAAGGCAGCCATGAATGGAGCGAGTTCATCATGTGTTTGACACATCCGTGTGAGGCTGAAAGGAGGGCTGGGAGGGAGGGATCCTGCCTTTGGTGGGCAGACAATGCCCGATGAAAGAGGCCCCRCATTCAAAAGTGGTCTCCAGCAAACGAGGCAGGCTGCTGGGGATCTGTTACAAACAGGTATAATGGGAATTAGCCAAATTTGATTCCTCASACACCTCTGGATTTCTGGTTGTGACTGTTCTGTAGTCCAGGCTCTGTCTCGTACCGTCAGCCCACAGATGGTTTACAACACTTCTGTGTGAGCCAAAATTTGCTTGCTATGGAATTGAAAAATCATATGCAGAATAAAAAAAATAAAAGCAAAAAAAGAGAAATTAGTATAAACAAAAAATTCTTTACAAAAAAAAAATCTTATTTTATATTTTATGTATTTTAAATTTATACCTTTTTTTCCCTTCCACTTTTACACCATGAAATATATGGCTTAAAAACTCAGATAATAATAAATTCAGATAATAATATAATTTGGAGTACTGATCAGTCACAAAATACATGTTCCCTACTTTAAAAAATCCTTAAAATTGAAAAAAAAAGTGTAGATGTACTTTTGTACTTCTCAGTCAAACATCACCCTCAAAGCCAGTACATGCATTCTAACAGAACAGTGGATTCTGTGATGTGAAAGAATGTGTCTGCTGTGGTGCTACCAGGTAAATAATATTTGTRAGCCATATCCAAATTCTGAACACATTTTGAGAGAATGTTCTCTTTTCAGAGTTGCTGTAGCAAGTACGTAAGAACACAGCAGCATGGATTTTTGAAGATTCTTGCTAATAATTACAGCAACCTGAGAGACCAGTGGGCAGTTTCTKAAGCCTGACATTTAGACAATGGCTGTTTTTTATCAGTATAATGATAAAACATCAACATCATTAAAGAGCTTTGCTTTCTGGACATGTAGAATAATCACTAGGTTTATAAAAGAATAGATTATTTACTCAATTTTAAGTACAAAAKAAGTGTAGCTGACAGAAGATGGCTTTTTAGCCGTGACTTAAACTGGTGATGTCACTGGAATTTCTACAGGACCTTTGTCCTCTAGGAGCTGCCATGAAAGCTGGGAATGCCTGTTCGTCTGTAGGGTTTGGTTGCTGGTTTTTATCAGTCTCATCCCAGGGACCTCTTTCTAGGATATTTCATTTMAAGTTTCACTTCATGCTTAGAAGCTCAAGCTAAGTCTAAAGATAAGAGGAGAGATAAGGAAGCCCAATCCATAATAGCCTTTCTTGCATTTTTTAATTAGTTATTCAAATTTTGTGGCAGAGAGAATATGAAAAATACAAARAATTGGGAACAAAGAGTATATTAAAATTTCCTTTAATTTCTGATGTCTTCTTTTCCTAAGTTCAAGCAATCAAGAAAATAAACCATATTAAATACTTTGTAGCTGTATGCCTAATTCAGTGTTATCTTCTAGTAGATGTTCTGGTCAAGTAAGTGTGCACTGCTAATATTTGTTTGGTCTGTTTTTTTCCCTACAGTTTTAATGTGAATCCTTCTGGCATTGAGGATCTCAGGAAAAAAACGGTAAGTTATGAAATGTTACAAAAAGCCATCTAATTAGTACTTGTGTAAGCTTTTGTTCTTTCTTAACCTCTTATGTGGAAATGTTTGCGTTTTTGTTTTTTTCTTTTTTTTTTTTTTTTTACATATCCAGAAAATCTAAATAGAAAAGCACAGGCTTAATGTAAATTTGGAAATAAAGAAGAGTTTTGCACTCAGTGGGGAGTTTACCTGTAATATGATTTTAAGAAGGAAATATTTAGTTCTGTGCGTGAAAGGTACCCMAACCCTGGATTTTTGAGGGTGGTTTAGATGACTTTAGAGAAGTAATGGTCAGATGAGGAACTATTAATTGACCAAATAGGAGTTTACCATCTCTGTAACCAGAGACTTGAGGACAGTCTTTAGAGGGCAGATCAAAATTGAAATTATGAACTGATATAAGATTAATAATGCACATAATAAATGAACAGCTGAAAACACTAAAAAATAGAAATACTAGAAGATACTATTCAAAAATCTCCTGTTTCTAAACATACTGAGAATAAGTTGTTCACTAAGGAAAGAGATTGACTAGGCAGTGTCTTTGTTTCAAGGAAAATGTGGYCTTACTAGAATTCATTCTGTGAATAGATGACATCTTTAAAAGTGGGTTTGTTTTCAATCTTTAGAATATATAGAAAACAAGTTTCACAAGCAAATACGACTTTGTACTGTTTGTTTTCTGCTGGTTATGTAAATGATTTGTAATAACATTTGATGTTATTGTAAATGCCCGAGTTTTTATAATGTAAGTAGCTGGTGGGAGATGTCAGAGTATTTGAAGGCTGCCTTTGATCAGATAGTAAACTGAATTCTACCAGGCAGTTACTTAATCTCTGACAAAAAGAGACATCAAAAAATTGATTTAACTTAGCAGCCATTGTCTGTAAAGTAACCATAATTACGGTTTCTATGTGCTTGCAAATGTACTACTGCAAATCATGTAATTTATTGCTGGTAAAAGCATTGGTTTAACTCTTTTAAGGAATAAGATGTGAATTGTTTTATTTAAAGGATTTAAAGGTGATAAAAGAAATCCTTGATGATTTTTCTTTTGGAATACCAGCTATCCTAAATGTCAGTTGTAGGATTATGAGGTGGTGCTCATTTAATGCAAAATACAAATTAGGTGGGGAAGAAACTATATCTCAACCATAGTTTTGAAGGAAACCATTTGATTTTTTTCTTTAATATTCAGGATTGCTTTCTAAGGTGTTTGAAGTAATTTATTATTAGATTCTATAATAATAGCCCTCACCAAGTTATTATATTTCTTCCTTGTGCATATTATTTAGTAATTATGTTTATATGTCTCCTCCTCTGATGCCAACACCTGTCTCTGAAAGCAGTGTTTAAATGGGAGCAGTAGCCAGTTGAAAGGGCAGTGTGAGCTCTTTAAGGCCTAATTAAGAACTGAAAGGAAGATGAAGTAGGACAAAAGATGTGAAAGTAGCTTAGATGATATTCCCAGAGCAGAATTCCTCATTAGAACAATGAGGAGATGATCAGGGATTGCCAGGCCTTCCTTTTATCCAAGGTTGTTTCCTCTGGCTGGCAGCGTGTACCCCAACAGGGTTTTGTAGCTGAGACAATCATTCTTTGCATGCCTTATTGCTTAGAATCTTTTTTTTTTTTCTTAATAATTCATTATGGGATTATTGTTATGCATTAGAATTGTGGTATCTATTTTGGTAAAGATATAGGTGTTCCTYACACATTTAAATATCACCTATTGGCTCAAAATGAACATACAAMATCTTAATTTTAATATTAATTTCTAAGTACTAACATACTTCAGCTAAAATTTTCTTGCATAATTAATATGATTGGTTATTCCTTCCCAAATGTGTAAATGGAGGCTGTGGATGATAAAACATCTTTAAAGCATTTATATTGCACACAATTTTCCAGTAAAATTGGTAGCATTATTGAAGTCATCATTATATCTTAATTCCTGTTCTCTTGCCAAATCAAAAATTTAGGCAAACCCAATATTTCAGACATATGAGTGTTAATGTTGCTTTTTCCAGTGTGTACAAAAGTTAGTACCATARAGAGAAAAATCTCCTTCCTTCTTGTAGTAGAAAGTATGCTAAAAATATTACCACAAAGTGATTTTGTCTTCTATACTTGTTGAAAATCAATTGCAAACCAATTTATAAATTGTACCAAGTTACCTATTTTAATAAAGTGGGAGTTATTGATTACTTACAATCCCTTAACTTGGTAAGTTTAAAATACTGAACATAGTTACACAAATGTGACATTAAGTGTCTCAAATGTGGAGAGAAACCCTTAAAAGCACATATTTTTGAGAGCTACTATTAGAATATAATTGATGGAGAGAGGCTGATCTGTCACACTTCAGCCTATTTGCAGGGCACCATCACTTTTAATGAGGTTCATTTGAAAACTTTGGYCAGCTGCATATTTTAATGGTTCAGCACGTGCCAATGTGCAAATATGGAGCTGTACAGAAAGAAAAGGAATGGGGCATGGAAAAGGAAGGAGCATGACTGTTATGTGGTGTGCTTCTTAGCTGTGCAGGCTTTATAATTTTTAATGACATGTTTCTACTGTAAGCAAAAGCCATCTTGTGTGCCCTGTCAGAAGTGTGGGAGTTTTTTGGTTCCRTGTCCTTTTCATTTCTGAATGAGCTCAAACATACTGCTTAGCATGTCTAAGAGTGCTGCTACTTTTATAGACCAACACAAAATAAGACATTCAAGTTTATAGTGTTTTGGATCACATGTTGCTCTTTTTAAGAGGACTTAATTTATCCATCTCTGCTAATACCTGCACTTACTGAGTCATCAGAAATCGTTACAGGAACAATTCTGTTTTCCCTACTGCTTAATTGTGGGCCTCACCTGCTTCAAAGCAAGCAAGATCTTTTATAAGTCCACAYTTCTGCTTTAAGTGCTCTGGTGCAAGTAAGATGCAGCCTTTCACATTCACCTGAGATTTAAAATTGAGAGTTTTATTATGTGATTCAGAAGCCAAGGCCTGGAGAAYCACTGGTGACTAAAAATAGAATATGAAAGACAGATGAGAGCTGATGTCATTGAGAGCTGAGTAAATGCTTTGCTGTGATGCTCTCCAAAGGCAAARACTCAGAGAAGTTACAGTAGAAATTACATTCTCAGGGCACTTTTATTGTTCTGTAATGTAGGTGGTTGGTTTCCCAAAATGAACCTRCCAGCTGTTGTTGTGGTCACTGCTCATGTGGTCACTAACTGTGACACACTGACTGTGTGTCCATCTCACTGAGATTTTTTCCTGAGATGACACWGTGGGAACTGTTCATCCAACTGGGCAGCCCATCTCCTGCTGTCTGCTCCAGTGGGGTATTGGAGGGAAAAGCACCATACCAAACAGAGATTTTGCTGAAAAAGATTGYTCTGTCGAGTGATGCACATGAAAAACATGAAAAGCAATAACCAATCAATTTGCTGAGGGCAATRAACTGTTTAATAAAATCTGGTGTTTTTTTTCTAAATTTACCTGCAGGAAGGAAATCCTTTCGACGCCACTGCAGGATACCGAAACCTCACTTATGAGGAGGTTCTGCAGGAGCTGGTGAAACACAAAGAGCAGCTCAAGAAGAAGGACACCCACATTCGTGAGCTCGAGGATTACATTGACAATCTGCTGGTACGAGTGATGGAGGAAACCCCCAGTATTCTCAGAGTGCCATACGAACCTTCTCGGAAAGCTGGCAAATTTTCCAAAAGCTGAGAAAGCGGTACTTGAGGGCACTTTCTGCTGAATACTTTAGTGGAAGGAAATGACACTTAAATATTTTGACTTCTCTTCATTCCTTTTCTCCTAAGAAATTCCAGGAAAATGCGGAGGAGAGACAGCGGCGTGTGTTTTTTCATTTTTTTTTTTATACTCCAAACACTAGCAGGGGCTGCCAAAAGTAGTATTCTGTTAGATTACCTAAGTAACTTTTTTTTTTTTCTTTTTAAAAACACCTTTAGGTACMGAATACTTAAAATAGAGTTAATAATCCATATTAAATATGTCCATGCAGTTCATATAATAGCTTAGTGTTCACCATGTGGCAGTTTCAGCTGGGAAGCCTGTGCTGTTATGAATGTTTTCTTGAATGATTACTGATATTAGGCAAATATATTGATTCTTTTCTTACAGCATGCCATCAAGACCACTGTTTTCAAGCCAGTGTAGTTCTCTACTCAACCTAAGTGTGGTTTGTTGCAATGGAATGTACTTCTGCACACATTCGAGGAAAACAGTGATGCACAATCCTTGCAGAGTAAATGCTGTATTCTATACGATGTGCTTTTTATGCAACAATRTAAAAAAGCCCTGTGCCATTCCCGTCATGGCACATGCTGGAGCCAGTTATTTTACACTTAAATGCTGAATTTTGTGTATAATGAGTGAACTTTGGCAGTGAGCTCATGACATAAGGTTGTTTTGAGGATCTTTTTGTATGAAGTTACTGCATGCCTTTATATGTGTTAAGGTACTTTGAACAGTRTTCACAGAGTCAGAGGTACAACTGGAGAACTCAAGAATGGAGTAMAGATACAAATACTTTTGTTCAGTCAAAGTCTACTGCAATGTAGCAGAAATGGAGAGGCTGACTTAAATAGACACGATAAATCAATTTAAGGTTGGGTTTTACATGATRTATGTGTCTTAACTTTTTAAATCTTATGACAGCAAATTATATGCCTTTAGAAATAGGCCATGTTGTTGAAACACATATAGAGTACTTAGGCTTTTCATTAAAAATGTCTGTATTCCATGTAAATAGTTCTAAAAGTAGGTTTTCATTGAGGCAAATGAAAGAAGAATGTAGTAATATCTTCTGGATCATTTAATAATTGTAAAATGATGTATGAGAAAGGTATGTGTTATTCAATGAATTGGAAAAATATAGTGATGAACTTATAATGGGATAATACTGTAAGAGAACTCTCAAAACATTAACATGGATAGATTTTAATTTCCTTAGTAAGAGTCKTATTTGTATCTTCTGTTGCTGTGAAACAGTAAAATGTTACTTAAAAATGTACAGAGAATGTTTTAGCTTTGGTTTTAAAAAAAACTGTCTTTTCCTCTCTTTCTGCACCTGATCTGTTGGGTTTTTTAACAGCACCATGAAATGGCTGTTGCTGAGGTGACAAAAAAAGCTTGAAATTAAATTTCAATTTTTTCTTCTTGTAAAAGATTTAAATACATTTTCATTTTTAAAATTGCAGAAATTGGTAATGAATAATTATATGTGCAAAGATTGAAAATGTTCTATCTGACTGCTTTTGATATCGTTAGTATTGTAGGACAGCACAGAATTATTCTTGTTAGAAAAAAACGTTCTTTGTACAAATGTCAGATTTCATTTACTTTTTTTTGGCCTTTTCTTCTTTATTTTCTTCTTTTATTTAGYAACTACCTCCCATCCCCTTTAGCACTGTCCCTAAAATGTGTACAGCCAGTGTTCCCARCCCACCAGTGGGATCCCTGAGTGTAGATCCCTGTGCCTGGAAGGATCCTGAGKGATCCCAGCCTTGCCCAGTTGTAGAGCTCTGCATTTGTGTTTTGTAGTGCAGAAATCCATCCCACACCAGGCAGTCTCTCTTTTGTCAGCCTAAGGATGTATCAAGTTTGGTACCTCACAAACCACATGAATGTCCTTTTGACCCACTTAAGATCTCGATTACTGTAAATTTGTTGTAATATATTCAAAGTGCCAAAGGTTATTTACTGGGTTATGGTACATTTGCTGTTGGAGGTTGAGTTTTGCACTCAATTAGATTTTCATTTTCTAATTACACCAAGATGTATTTCAGTTACTCAGTATTTCCATAAAAGTTCTTAAACATTTTCAAATGTTTGGCCGAAGCCAGTAGTTTTCTCATGTCATTGATGGAGAAATGTTCTGCAATTGTTTTGAATTCCACACTCATTTTCAACTTACTGGTATGAGACCATTTCTAGTATCCACAGTGCTTAAGTCATACACACAATGAGGATTAACAACTGCACTAACCAGAGAATGTGCTCCAATGACTTTTCACATGCAAGCCAACTTAYAATTATTAAAATGAAACTCTACTATATTTAGCACCTCTGAAATCACCTCTTTTAGAATGTAAATGTAGAATATCAAACTGCATAATTGACTAAAAGCAGATCATTTGACATATTTGCATACCAAGAACGATAAGCAGATTAAAGGTAGCGAAAAGATCAATTTTTGTGCATTAGTGAAGAAATTCAGTGAAGCTTTGAATGTGCTATCTAGTCTTTATCTGATCTATAAGTGAAAAAAAGCACCTTTTGTTTTGAACAGTTTGTTAAGGAAGAGGGGAGAACAAATGCAATTTAGGAAGAGTTACTAGGAGAGGCAGAATTGTACATTAACAGCTATGAAGATAATTTTTATAGAGTTTATAGGTAAAGATACAGGCTGCWTTTTGGAGGCATTCTTGGAAGATGACATACACATCATCTGCTTAGAAAGAAAATTTTAGCATTTTCCTATATTCTGAGATTATTTTTGAAAAGCATCTTCACCCCCCATGCATTTTTTGAACCTTGCAGCTTTCAAACAAAAACTTTTCATACAGAGTAATTTGTTTGTTGAAAACAAAGTAAGTTCTGTTTTTCCCTGAAGGATGAATTTGTAGACTTTCTTGCAGATCRTTTTAAACCCATAAAAACCTGCCACTTGTGGTAAGTCGTTCTTCCCTTTGAAACATAGGGATGAAAATTTTGAACATCTCCATACTRTTTTGATATTTTCTCTCATAAATTAGCATAAGAGTTCATCCATGCATGCACTATACTTTGAAATTATCCTTTGAAACAGCTCTGCTCATAGCCATGTATTYTGCTTACTTAAAAGGACAAATATGAAGGCCATACTTTAATGTTGTAAGTAAGAAATGTAAACTTTCTGCCATTCAAGAAGGATGTTTAATATTTATRTATGTTACCTCTTGCTGCTGTATTTTACATTTAGCTTGGTTTTCCAYCTCCTAATGAATGTAGCATTCTCCCTAGATTATACATAACTACATTTATTGCTGTTGGCTCTGTGTCAAGAACTATTTGTAATTTTCCAGCTGTGGAAATGTTGCCTTGCATTTAGAAAGGTTTCACGGTTTGGGGAGCTGATGAGAATCATGCTCATTAGATAGTAGCCTGCATCTCTTTCTGTACAGGATGCCCTTTCTTAGATGCATCCTAAAACAAACAGAACTRCTGTCTTAATGTGTTTACTGCTGCACTGGGGGTTTATTTACACTTCCAGCTTTAAAGAAAGCTTATTGTCCTACATCAAGTATGTAAAGTAAGCTGATGCTTTTCTGCTCTTTATGTACCATTGCTGTTGTAGATACGATAGAGGCGTTAGCTGGGCTTTTACAATGGTGAATTTAGAGCATGTTGACTAACTTCCCCTTCTTTGAAGTACTTGCTGAAGGATTATAGCACTGCTGTGTTCATGATGCTAGTTTTAAGGGTCTGTCAGCACTTTTGGTATGAAACCCTATTTTCAGGGATTTATAATTTTAGAATTTCGATACAGTCGCTGGAAGTATTTAATATGCAATAGGTAGCACTTTAATCTGTTAATGAAGGGGTTTGAGTTTTGTTTCTGTTGAAAAGGTCAGTGTCTCCTAAAGCATGGTGGGCATTTGCTTTATCTTTTATAATTTCTATGTTGAAGAAGCCACTGTATGTTAGAAGTGGTAGAGCCATTCCTATTCATCTTAGAAGCTTCCAGATGTCTTGTATTACAATGTGTTATAAAAAGCTGAAGATCCAGGTTATATAGGAAGTCTGTAAAAGATATGAACATTAATTATAACTTAGGGGTTTTATTTTGTCTCGTGCAATCAATGGTAGTTTGTCTACATTTAAAAATGGTACAAAATCATAACAATATGCACTTGTGAGAACTATAAACTTAGAATGCATGAAAAACTTTATTTTGTTCCATTATTGCAACTTCAGATCCTTTAATTTGATTAAAATGTTATCTTAATATTTTAATTTCTGTTCATTAAATAAATATTGCATGTCTAACACTAATAAAGCACCACAATGCACTACTACAGTATTTCTTGAATTGTGRCATTAATCTGTGTTATGCAAAGCATGTGACTCCTAAACTCCATGGTGTTAATTCTCTCAGACCTCAGAGAGGGGTATTTCCTTAGGGACAGTTCTGAATGAGTATCCCAGATGTTTGCAGGAAAGCCTTTAAGGGAAATCGCTTCAGTAGTGCCCAAAGCTTAGAATTAGTTAAAAAAAAAACCACAAAGAAAACAAAAAAAAAACAAAAAAACAAAACAAAAAAAAACCATATTCTTAAATGTACTGATGTATATGTCTTTTTTCTATGGTATCTGCAATCCCTTTAAATGCACTATTCTTCTGATTCCATGGCTGGGTAAATAACACTGCAAATTTTGATWTGGAAAACATGACACATATTTTTCTTAATACTTGACAGAATAAAAATCGGCCAGAGTGACCAGAAACTGGAGCATCCTCCCTGCTTTRCCCATAAGTATTTTTTTCAATGCTCCTACAAGTTTTTCTCCTCTTCTAGGAAGAAGCAAAACAGCAAAGTCTGTCCTCTGACAACAGCAGGTTTTCTGGATGGTAAGGCGGTATGGAACAGTCCTGGCTTGGGAGAAGAACATTGGGAATCGTTCACCCCATTTCTTGGGGCCTTGAATGCCACTGGGATGATTCCTTCCCTTGCAGTTACCTTGCTGTGTGAGCAGGTCCTTTATCAATAGATCCATGGATTTAGCTTGGAAAGGGTTCTTCTCTKAGAGGTGTCCATGAAATGTGATGGTTTCAGGACATCACAGGCAGTTCATGAGCTGTCCCTGCACTTCCACACGTGTTGTTATGCAGATTTCCATCRGCTGTTCCACCCCATGGCTCACAGATTTTGGTGAGTGGTTGAGGAATGAGGACAGGAGGAAGGCAGGTTTCAGAAAGCACCACACTGCCTGTTAAATACCAGCTTCCATCTGTAATTCACATCTGGTAACTAATCTCAGTCCCTGTGCCCATTTGAAAAGGGAGCCACACAATTKCCCTCCCTCAGAGGCATAATGTTTGTTAGCTGATACCATCCGCAATCCTGCTGACAATATGAGAGTCCAACTCRATTAAACAGCTTCCAGTTTCTCCAGCACAGAGGTGCCTTCTGATCTTTCATCATTAACCATCTCAACCCGCTAATAAAGGTTTTCAAGGCTACTTTAAATATAGTTCAGCAGTTAAAGARCTATTCAAATTAGATATAAACTGGAAGTATCATTGAGGACAACCCAGTTGTACTTAGTATTTTTTTATGGAACCATAGAGAGTGAAAAYCAGGATTTCATTTCCATATTTTTATTTATTTTTGTGGGAGTGTTGTGCAAATTCTGGCTGCGGCTCACTGGGGATATATTGCCCTTTTGTGTAACACTGGGCATTTTTGTAAAGTTATAAATAATGATGATAAAAACAAATCCCATCTCTTTTTCTGGATTAATGAATTAAATGTTGGATTATTTTGTTGGACTGTTTTGAAATAGTGCCATTTTATCAGAGATAGGAGTAAAACTATCTGCTAAAGGAAGCTGTTTTCTCTGTAGTAATTATTGAGTAATTATGATAGAARGCTACCACACTGAGTGCAGCCCAACCTGGAAACTCTGTGGCACTGGTTGTGTAATGTTTATATAAATATCAGCATATTCAGTGCTGGAAGACAGTGGCTATTACATGAGGATTATTGC